ACGCCAGTTCTGACTTACATACAGATTCAACTTAAGAACCCCAGGCTCCGCGGCTTTGCTCTGCTTTGCTCCCCGTCCCCTTGGTCTGCAGACCAGGGGGGGAGGAGTGGACGGGGGGGCAAAGCAGAGCCAAGCCGCGGAGCACGTGGGCAGCGGACAGCCCTGTCCGCTGCCTGCGTGTTCTGCCGCTTTGCTTCCTCTCCCTGGTCTGCTGGAGACCAGGGAGAGGAAGGGCCCCGTTCGTAACTGCGGATCCGACATAAGTCGGATCCGCGTAACTCGGGGACTGCCTGTATTGGTATAGAAGGATACAGCTTACTCAGGAAGGACAGGTGAGGGAAAAAAGGGAGGAGGTGTTGTTTTATATATTAAAAATGTACACGCTTGGACTGAGGTGGAGATGGACGTATTGAGAGTCTCTGGGTTAGGCTAAAAGGGGTTAAAAACAAGGGTGATGTCATGCTAGGGATCTACTATAGGCCACCTACCCAGGCGGAAGAGGTGAATGAGGCTTTTTTTAAACAACTAACAAAATCATCCAAAGCGCAGGATTTGGTGGTAATAGGGGACTTCAACTGTCCAGATATATGTTGGGAAACTAACACAGCAGGGCACAGACTAGCCAATAACTTCCTGGACTGCACTGAAGACAACTTTTTATTTCAGAGGCTTTCAAGGCTTCTCTGATTAACACTGCCCTTTGCACTGCTGTCCAGCTGCTTGAACTCTCTGGCTAGGAGTTCTCCTTCAACCTTCCACCTAGCCAAAAAAAGTTTCCCTCTTGTTCTCACACAGGTTGTGAAGCTCACAGCAAGCCACCATCATGAAGAGGATGCTGCATTCACTGAGGTCCAGGTGAGTAAGAAGACTCCTGAACCTCCACCCTTTAAATGTCAAAACGCACATTCTACCACCATTCTGCCCCTATGTTGAACTCCTTCTTGCTGGAGGACTCCAGACTGCCCATGTACGGCTTCATGAGCCACTGGAGCAAGGGACAGGCTGGGTCACACAGGATCACAATGGGCATTTCCACCTCTCCAACTCAGATGTTCCAATCAGTGAAAAAAGTTCCACCGTGCATCTTTCAGAAGAGGCAGGACTTCCAAAAGATGCAGGCATCATGCACCTTTCCTGACCATCCCACATTGAAATCAGTGAAGCAGCCCTTGTGATCCACAAGCACCTGCAGCACCATGGAGAAGTGCTCCTTCCAGTTGCTGTACTCTGAAGCATGGTGTTCAGGGGCCAGGATGAGGATGTGTGTGCCATCTATGGTGCCCCCACAGTTAGGGAAGCCCATGGCGGCAAAGCCCTCCACGATGTTGTCTACATTCCTCAAAGTCAGAACTCTCTACAGCAGAATGTTGTTGATGGCCTTGGCTATTTCTATAACAGAAGTCCCAGCTGTAGACTTCCCCACCCTGAACTGGTTCCCAACTGACCAGTACTTATCTGGCATGGCAAGCTCTCATAGGGCAATTGCCATACGCTTCTCCATGATAATGGGAAGCAGGTCTCATGCAAGTATTCTGGCACCTTAGGGCAAGGGAAAGTCATTCATACAGTTCAAAGAACATGGCCTTCCACATGTGGAAGTTCTGCAGCCTAAGCTGATTGTCCCATCTCTGCATGACAATGAGGTCCCACCAATCTAAGGTCATCTCCCAACACCAGAACCAGCATTGCACTATGTCTAGCAGATTGACTAACAGTTGTGCTAGTATGAGCACCAGAGCTTGCCTGAGCAGGGCCTCCGTGCCACACCGAGCTTCATCCTTATCCTCTTCCTGGCGGAGCAACATACGTAAATTCTCAAACTACAGTGCCATGTGGCGCACCATGACATCCATGAGCACACACTGTGTCCCCTTTATCTTGTGCAAGACAAGAGGGACTAGAGAAATGCCTTATGGGTACGGTGACCATATTTTCTGAACCAAAAATGGGGACACAATAGCTATGCCCTGACACCACTAGCCACGCCCCATAACACCGCTAGTTTCTTATGTTAGTTTATCAAACTTTATTTTAAATAAAGTAAAATATTAATTTATGTCCAATACAAAAGGTTTCAATGTTTTCTTTATTTATGGCAGGGGTAGGGAACCTTTTTTGAGTTGTGGGCCATTGACCCACAGAAAAAAACAGCTGGGGACCACACAAGCGAGAAGCAAAAAAATTCCTCCAAAAACCCCCAGCCCTCCCTGATGTGGTCCTCAGTTGAGACACCTCGCTCAGCTGGTGCTCTAGTCTCAAGGGGTGAGGGCAAGGGACAAGGAAGACTGAGGTTCAGGGCTTTTCATAGGCAAGATTTACTTTTCTGGGGTTCTGTAATTAGTGGATTTTATGGACCCCCTTAGGCTCTGAGGTAGGGACAAAAATGAGGGGCTCAGTGTGTAGGACAGGGCTGCCAGCGACTGAGATAGGAATGGGGTGCAGGATATGGGAGGGTGGTGGGATGCAGAAGTGGGAGAGGTTGCGAGGTCTGGTTGGGAGGCAGAGTGCAGAAACAGACTGGGAGTAGCATGGTTTGCCAGGTGGAGGGAGCAGGAACAAGGAAAGGTGCAGCGTGCGGCCAGCAGGGAGCGTGCAGGAACAGCAGTGGATGCAGGAGCAGGGGGAGGGTATGTGTCTGGTGAGGGGGTAGGGTGCAGGAGCAAGCTGAGGTTAGGGTGTCTGGCCAAGAGAGAGGGTGTCTTGCCAGGAGGGAGAGTGCAGGAGCAAGGGAAGGTATAGGAGCAAGCGGGGGGTGCAGGGTCTTGGCAGGGGGAGGGGAGTGAGTTAGGGAGTTTGGGACATGGGGGTCTGGCATGAGGGGACACTTACCTGGCTTTGGACCCCTTACAGTGGGGAAAGCTTCTGGATTACGCGCTGCCATTCCCCCAGCAAGGTGGGAAGGGAGTTTAGGGCCCCCCCCCCCTTCCCCACACGCAGCAGGGAGCCCGCACAGCCATGAGGTTGTAGCACCACCTCCAGCTTCCTACTCTGAGGGTGCATGGAGTGAGGGGAGAGAAGGGCAAGAAAGCACCAACCACCCCAGATCCGGCTTACGGTGGCAGAGCGAGCAGCTCCATGTACTGCCATTCCCCCAGCAGGGTGGGGAGGAGTGGGGAGAGAGTGGCAGTGCATGGAGCACACCTGCAAAGTCCCAGCATGCCTCAGCTGGGCTCTGCACAGCCCCTGCGTAGCTCAGGCAACAGCTGCAAGGCACCGAGGTCTGAGACTGGCTCCTTGGCACGTTTTGCCTTGGACCTCCTCTCCCTCTGGCAGCAGCAGCAGCCGCTGTTACAAAGAACAAGCAGCCAGCTGCACATTTGGAGGAGGAGGCTGTGCAGCCAGACCAGGATCCCACACAGTACAGGCAATCCCGTGGGGCAGGGAGAGAGCCATGCAGCGTGTGGTGGTGGGGAGGAGGCGGCCTTGACCTCCCCCACTGTAACTTCAGACCATTGCTCAGCGGGACACAGTATTTAAATTCGGGACAGTACCGGAAAATCTGAGACACACAGTCAGCGTACTTATGGGACACATCCAATATGAGCCCCTCTAACCGCCCGCTTCCAAGTTTTGGACCCAGCGGACACCAGAAGCATAGCCCATACTGCCGAGCTATCCACAATGCCTCACTCTGAGTCAACAGCAGGCTCCATAATATGACGCAGAGACACAAGAGCTGTGTCTACACTGGGCCACTTTTCCGGAATAAGCTGCGAGCTGTCTACACTGGCCGCTTACTTTTCTGGAAAAGCAATGACGATCTACTGTAAAATTGTCAGTGTTTTTCCGGAAAAACTATGCTGCTGCCGTTCGGGCAAAAGTCCTTTTCCGGAAAAACTGTTCCAGAAAAGGGCCAGTGTAGACAGCACAGTAGTCTTTTCAGCAAAAAAGCCCCAATCGCGAAAATGACGATCGGGGCTTTTTTCCGGAAAAGTGCGTCTACACTGGCCACGGATGCTTTTCTGGAAAAAGTTCCGTTTTAAGCATTTCCGGAAAAGGGTGCCAGTGTAGACGTAGCCAAGGAGAAACATTAGGTTCTTGCCCATACTGAGGACACAGACCTTCGACTTCTCAAAATTGGGTGTCCATAAATCAACCATAGTAGATTCAACCTTATCTAGTAGTGTAGATGTGCCCTTAGTGAATAACAAAATTACTAATATCTAAATGTGAGTCATTTTATTGATGGGACTGCTAGAGGCTTAAGAGACTATTCATTGTGAACAAGGATAGCAGAATTGTGTTTCATGTGAATAATTCAATTCAGTAAACAAGTATAGTGCATTTACTTTTTATTATTAGAAGGCTGGCGGCAAGAGCAAACCTAGAAACCATTCAGTCCTTATATTCTTAAGTTGAAAGCATGAGTCTCAATTTAAACTTTTACAGAGTGAACATTTAGGAAAAAAGCTGAAAAATTTAGAAGAGAAAGAGCTGAGGAATTTAGAAGCTTTCAATGCCAGATCCTTAGCTAGTGCACATCAATATAATTCCACTGAAGTCAATGGACCCATGCTGATTTATATCAATTAAAGTCCCAGACTTTAATATGCATCAACAATGCTAGCTAAAATCAAAGTAAAAAAACTGCTTGCAATAGTTTTATCGAGAAAAGTGTAAATACAGTTCGATCATGCTTCTTCCTCCAATTGTTCTAACCTACCATGTACCCTAAGGAATCATCTTGCATGTAATGTTTTTTACTGAACTATAAATACCAGCATCAATTTCATGTTGTATCTTGTTTATTTTAAGAAATGTTCTGTTCAGAATCTAGAACGGGTATAGCACAACCTTTTCTTATGAACAATTTAGTTCATGTACTCTTAACATAATTAAGTAAGTCACTACTGTTATACAACAGTTACCCATACACAGTGCTTTTAAAAAAAAAAGGTGCCGGTACTCCAGATGCAAAGTTGTTGAGCTCTGACTGAAGTTGCTGGTACTGCGTCTGGAGGTGCCGGTACTGCATGCCAGGCCAGTACCATCACAAAATGAGTACTGCCCATATATGCGTTAAGCAATGGCCTGGGTTCTGAAGTTTATGGAACTGGACTTATTTAAACAGTTCTTCCCAAAGAACTAAACAGTGATCATTTTTCTCATATAAGTAGTTCCATGGAATTTAATAAGATTACTTATGAGACTAAGGAGATCATGATCTAGTCCACGCTATATATTGTAGTTCTAGAAAGAGCTGGTTTAATCAAGATTTCACTTCTCTATATTCAGTGAGAAATAAACAGCTTGCCATTTGTCAAATGTATCTAAATAAGACAGAACAGATTTTTAAAAATCCCTAGGTAAATTTTCTTTACTTTTGTTAATTATGCTTCTTGTAGATCAAGTGACCTCAATAATCCTATTAGTGTTTCTAAGTCAATCAACTCAGAAAATATCCTACAGAAAGTTTAGATCAAATTACCGCAGCTTGCAAAGGTGGCCCATTTGCTGAGTCTAAAGTTAGACTCATGATTCAGCAACCGCAGTGCTCATTGCTGGTGCTGCAGCTGACAGTTGCTTCAGTCTGTGTAAACGCCAGAAGGAACTGTTTTCTTGCTTCCTTTAGCATTTTTGTGCGCTCTCCTGAGTAATGTTTTAGCAATTTCCTTGATGTGCTGCATGAAATTACTTTTTTCTATTAACAGATTATAAATTGATACATTTAGAATAAAAGCTACAATTTTGAACTCTTAAGATCCTCAATGAGGAGGACTGATTATGGACATACAGCAACCAGACAAACCGCAACCACATAAAAGCTGAAGTTCAACCTGGTTTTGAGGATGTCAAAATAAGATTTGCGTGTTGTGTTGATCTTCTGGCCCTCTGAACAGTGACATGTTTCATGAAGAGTGGCTTGCAACATCTACTATATTCTGGCATTTATAGCTATTTTAATAGCTATTTATAGCTAAGAGCACAGTTAAAGACATTTTCCCCTTATCTTTGCTATTCCACATCCCAGAAATATAGTAATCTTCCCTGCATCATCTAAATCAAACTAAAACATACATATTTTTCCCCTGTCTCCCTAAAGGACTAGGTTATGCAATCCTTTCTCTCAGAAGTGAAATTTATCTCTGTGCAAAACCTAGCACTGCTTAAATGCAACTTTAAGCTCTAATGTGAGAGCGTAAGTAAGGCATAGGCTTTCTACTGGCATTCTGAAGGAGGTGGGAGTTATTTCACTCAAAATATATTTTTCTGATTCGTGGTTTTATAAAAACTCTTGCAAAGAAAAGCCACGAAGGGCACATCTACCCAGCAGGGCTAAAGCTGAAATAAGCTACACAACTTGAGCTACGTCAATTGTATAGCTTCAGTTGAAATAGCTTATTTCGGCTTTTGGCGCAGTCTATGCAGCAGGAAGTTAAGAGCATTCTGCCTCCAACTTCCCTTACTCCTCGTAAAATGAGGGTTACAGGAGTCGGAGTAAGAAGTGATCCAGCTCGATGTTATTTCAACATTATGCCAAAATAACTGCTTGCTGTGTAGATGTGGACTATGTTATTTCAGAATAACATCAGTTATTCTGAAATAACGCTGCTGTGTAGACATAGCCTGAGTTTATTTACTGGCTTCCCATTATCACATAACCTTGCATTTTATGCTAAGGACTGGTAAATGCTTAATAAAGAATTTAGTGATGATGACCCTTGGTGTGGGAGCAACTGCAAAAGTTATATTTTAGAAAGGGTACCTAGGTTCATCTTTGGGACTTTCACTTGCAGATACCTGCCCACTCTTTTTACAATGTTTCTGAAGAATCTTCATCTGCTAGACAAAATCACAATTCCTTGATGTATATAGTAAATGACCTCTAGTATTTGACAAATATTGTGAACACCACAGAAAGTTTGTATTTCACTGCATTGTCATTGTACAAAGGAAGGGGAAATGAATCTCTGATATTTAATATAAATAGTACCTTAGAAAATTGTGGTTTTCCATCTTCATAGTGAATCTCCACATAATCTGAGGATAACAAATCACTGTAAAAAAGGGAAACGTTTAGTATGGTATTTCTTAAAAAAAAAAAAAAAAAATGCACATGTAATCACTAATTTTATCATTTTTGCAGAAGTCCTTGAATTATTTTTTTCCTAACCTGGCTAAGTAAAAGAATCAAGAAAGCCATATCCAGAAAATGGCTTGCTGTTACATATCGAGGCAAGAAAGACTTTAGATTTATGGGAATTTGACTCCCTGGCTAAATTTCCATTGTGTTAGTTTCACATTAGTATGATTTCATTTGTCTTTAATGTATACACGAATTAAAATTAATATAAATTAGCTTTATGAATTTTGTTTGTACTAGTTCTTAGAACAATGTATGGGTAGTTTAACTATTGTTTTCAAATAAGTATTATATTTATTATTCATATCAAAGTAACACACAGAAAACCTGTCCCAAGAGTATGAAGTCTAAAAAATATATTACAGATTATCTATTAACCATAATCACCCTACTTTCTATATATTAGTTCTTTATTCAATCTTCATCTACAAACTTTAACTATTTTAAGTAACTCTTAACATTTCTTTACAAAGCCTTTAATATCCTGGCAGGACTATCCCCTATTTCTTTCACATCTCATATTCTCTCATTCAATCTTACCCTTTATCATTCCCACACTTCCTTGCCTGAAAACTCCTTCTCCCTCTGCAAAAGTTCCCATTCTGTCAAAGAGATGAGAAAAAAATAAAAACAGCTCTGATACTAAAGGAGATCATCGATATAGTGGAAACATGCTAGCTACTCTGACAGCTTAAAGCGCCACACTTGGGTGCCAGATGGTTGGTTCCACTCCTGGAAAGGGGGACTTCTGCCTCACGTAGTATTTGAGGAAGTAGGAGCAGCACTGGTCCCTGGTGTTCCCAGACTGCCTTATTACCCCTGCACAGCAGATAAGAAGAAAGCCCTAAATGGGTAGTATCCTATGCCCCCCCAGCCTCTGGCTCAGTCTTTACATATCTGGGACAGTTTCAATGCCCCAACCACACTGATTTAGAGCTCAACTCAACAAGACTTTGGGGCCCTTATAAAATAAATCACTTAAACATATGTTTATAGCACTTCTCACATGCTCAGAGTTATGCAAATTATGTGACAGTGCATCATATTAGCGGATATCATACTAATAATTTTGCAGTACTAGCATCGCCCCAATGCCTGGCACATGTTCTTCCCTCACTATGCCAGCCAATACTAGCAAACAGCTTACACCAGGACTGGGCAAAATATGGCCCAGGGGCCAGATCCAGCCCACCAAACCATCGAATCTGGCCCATGGACCACCCTGACAGGACCCTCAGGCACGCAGCTGCCATGGCTTAAAGCACAGTCCATGGGGCTCTCTGCTCTGCAGGGAGTGGGAGGGGGAAGCTTCGTGTGATCTCCCGGCCCCCAGCCCAATCTTCAGAACCTACAGGCCATTTTAGCCAGGCCACTGCGGGGGGAGGAAAGAGGGGCGGTGAGCCGATCAGCTGTTTTGTCGGCTCAGCGCGGAAGTCTGGACGCTCCACGGTCGACATCAAAGGCATTTGTCGACCTTCCAGGTAAACCTCATCCCAAAGAGCTAATCGGCTCAGCGCGGCAGCCATTTAAATTTAAATGAGGAGGCGATTATTTAAATCGCCGCTTCACTTTCCTATGCCGGTTAGCCTAATCTACATGCCTCTGTCGCCAGAAGCATGTAGTCTAGACGTACCCTACGAGATCTGGTGGGATGCAGTGCTAGCAGGGACCTACTTTCTTAGGGTATGTCTACACTACAGTGTTATTTCAAAATAACATGTCTAGACACAAAATGCATTTCAAAATAGCGTTTTGCTATTTCGAAATAGCACATCCACATTGATAGGACGCTGAATCGCATTTAAGGCCTGTCAGAACCGGGGGAGGGAGGGAGAGGAGTTTTCTTGGTTGTGCCCAGAGTCGCCACCAAGGCACCCTGGGAAGGGCTGGAGGCCCCCTATTTTGAAATAAGCATCTACACAGCGCTTATTTCAAAATAGCAATTTCAAAATTGGCGCTATTCCTCATGGGAAGAGGTTTACCAATTTTGAAATAAGCCCTCTGCTATTTCGATTTAATTTCGAAATAGCGGTTTGGCTGTGTAGATGCTGGTAAAGTTATTTCGAAATAATGGCTGTTATTTCAAAATAGCTTTGCCATGTAGACATACCCTTATTTATTATCAGTGACTCAAGCAGGCTAATATTTTGCGAGGTGTTTGCAGCTCCTTTGCTAAGCTGGGAGAAGATTTCTGGATATTTGTACTTATCTTCAGCTTTTAATAAAACAAACTGGTAATATTTGAAAATGTTGGCCTGAACATGATTAATTCCCTTTGGTATGTATTGTATTATATTAAGGGAAATCACGAGGAGCCTATTTAGTATTATTGTACATGTCATAAGCACTTTCAGCCTTCATTGACTAGACCAGTATTTTATAGTCTTATTGGGAACTTTTAAAATCACTGAAGCAGAATTTCTCACCATCCAGATTTTCAGGATTTTCCACCTACTTTACCTGCCAGATCTCTCACAGGCACTAACAACATTAATCCTCCCATTACCTCTCCAGTCTTCTAAAACAAATTGTGTTTGCCACCTTTTGAAAGGGATTCATTTGTTAAGCAAGGACTTATTGGGGCAGCCTCACCACAGCCCTGGTTCCAGCTCCGGCAGCATTCTGGACGCTTACAATATAGCAGGAGAGATTATCTTATTTTGTCTACAAAAAAATGGTATCATTTTCTTAGAAGGCCTATATAGAAAACCGTATGTCTCTTTTTATGGGTGGCTGCTTCTGATCAAGTTAGAAAGTAATCATTGTCTTATCTTTCTAGTGTTGCATGCTCACTAGAAGATTTACCCAGTGTTGCTTGAGTCCTTAGCTCTAAGTTTTGTTTTGTTTTGTTTTATTTATATCATTGCTCTCTAGATTATGTGAATGGAGTCTGCAAACATATAGTTCACAAAACAATCCTGAAGAGACAGAATTTAAATGTGTGGAGTTAATGGAGGAAAGTTTATAAACCCTATATCTTTTAAATAACTTGTCACCTCAGCACAGGGTCCAGGCAGGTTCTACCATAAAGGACCCCAAGAGATCATCTAGTCCAGCTGGGGGAGGGTCTGGGAAAGGGCTATAAACAGAGGAAGCTGGCTACTGAAAATGTTGCTATATTAATCTTCTTTTTATTTGACTTCATATCAAAAAAACATTTAAAGTCATGCACCTTTTTAATTATCTCTTATTTAAGTATTCTTTCTTCCATAATGTTTTAAAAAACTATATTCAAGATATTTGCTAAATTGGGTGACATGGTGGCACACATCTGATCAAGTGAACGTGACCTCAATATTGGTGCACAAGACAAAACTCACTCCACTCATGGATGTAAAATCTTAGAATACTTTACACTTGTCCTTGTTGAACCTCATCAGATTTCTTTTGGCCCAATCCTCCAATTTGTCTAAGTCACGCTGGACTCTATCCCTCCCCTACTGTGTATCTACCTCTCCTCCCCACAGCTTAGTGTCACCCACAAACTTGCTGAGGGGCGCAATCACATCCCATCATCCAGATCATTAATGAAGATGTTGAACAAAAGTGGGCCCATGACCAATTTCTGGGACAATCTGCTTGATACTGGCTGCCAACTAGTCATTAAGCCATTGATCACTTCTCAGTGAACTCAATTCTCTAGCCAGCTTTCTATCCATTCATCCAAGCCATACTTCTATAACTTGCTAGCAATAATACTGTGGGAGATCATATCAAAGCTTCGCTAAACTCAAGGTATATTATGTCCACTGCTCAAGGTCTATCACGTCCATATCCACCATACAAGGCAATTAGATTGGTTAGGAATGACTTGCCCTTGCTGAATCCATGACTGTTCCTGATAATTTCCTTTCCTCCAAGTGTTTCAAATGGATTTCAAATGTTAATCTATGGGCTCTATCACTGCTGCCAAATGAGGACAGAATTTTAGTAGGAAATTTAATTACTGCTCTAACTTGCCTGAGGGCAAAGAAGGTTCTTGATCTAAATCAGTGGTCACCAACCAGATGATCAGGATCTGCTGGTAGATCTTGGAGCCTCCGACAGATGATCCTGGCTGGTTTGGCCAAGAGGCTAGCAAGTGCCAGCACCTCAGCTGCCCCTCCACCCATTGCTGCACATCTCCTGCCCTTTGCCTTGCAGCTGCCCCTCCCGTTGGGCAGCCTCCTGCTTTCCGTGCAGGGCAGAGGAGTGAGTGGAGGGGTGGTGATGTCAAGGTGTGCCCTCTCCCACTCTGTATCCTTTCTCCACAAAGCAAAGAGGGGGCACAACAGGACTTTGGATGGAGGGAGTTTGCTGGCTGCTTTACGGAGTGGGCCAGGGCTAGGGCAAAAGTGAGCCTGCCTTAGCCCTACTGCACCACCACCCAGGAGCCACCGGAGGTATGCAGTGCCCAGGTGAAGCTCACATCCCAAACTCCTACCCAGTCATGAGCCCCCTTCTACACCTCAGGTCCCAAGCACCCCTGCATCCATATGCCATCCCAGAGCCTGAACCTAGAACCCCCTCCAACATCCCAACTGCCTGCCAAGAGCAGCTCAGAGCCCCTCTCACACTCCAGATCCCTTAATCCAAGACTAGAGCCTGCACCCCAACCCTCTGCCCCAGCCTGATGAAAGTAAGTGTGGATGGGCAAGAGAGGGAGGATGGAGTGGGCAGGGCCTCGGAGAAGAGAAGGGGAAGGAAGGAGGTGGGGCAAGGGTATTTATATTTGAGGTAGATCTTGGATTGCACTTCAATTCAAAAAGTGATCTCGTACTTAAAAAGGTTGGAGACCCCTGATCTAAATATAGAGGAACAAAAGATGTCTCTTACTCTACCTTCTTCTCCTAAGCATAGCTGATTGGAATGCATCATCTGGTCTATCATCTGGGCCTATTGCCCAGAGCACTCTCTTCCCCTATATATGCAAAG